CCAGACTGTCTGTAAATGGAGGTGCAAAAGCTTGGGAGCAGGGGTCTTGACTTTTTTTGGTGCCGTTGTTTGAAGCGCTGTCACCGTGAAAATGTTTAAAATGTACTTGTCTCAGCAGCATACATATTTGATGCAACGAGGGTGGAAATGGCTTATTTGGCCCCGTGTAGCTCAGTTGGTAGAGCTTGCAACGCCAGGGTTGTGGGTTCGATTCCCACGGGGGGCCAGTATGAAAAAAAAAAAAGGAAGAAAAAAATATGTATGGATAAATGACTAAAATGTAACATTACTTACCAAGCCAAGCAGACAGAACCGGCACCAGGATAAAGTGACTAAGGGGGGCAGTTGAAATCATTGAGGTGGCACAATTTTGGCGGGTTCTACATTGGAATTATATTATATTCTGCTTATATAACGCTATACCACAATAAATCAGCACAATGGAAAGCGCCCTAAACACTAAAGCAAGGCTGTTTTGGTAATGAATATAGGCTAATAGTTAGATGGGCTAATTCACCTATTACAAACAGACTATGTGAATGCAGCTGTAAACACAGCTGTCTTACTAAACTACAGTGAGGGAAAAAAGTATTTGATCCCCTGCTGATTTTGTACGTTTGCCCACTGACAAAGAAATGATCAGTCTATAATTGTAATGGTAGGTTTATTTGAACAGTGAGAGACAGAATAACAACAACAAAAATCCAGAAAAACGCATGTCAAAAATGTTATAAATTGATTTGCATTTTAATGAGGGAAATAAGTATTTGACCCCCTCTCAATCAGAAAGATTTCTGGCTCCCAGGTGTCTTTTATACAGGTAACGAGCTGAGATTAGGAGCACACTCTTAAAGGGAGACACCTGTCCACAGAAGCAATCAATCAATCAGATTACAAACTCTCTACCATGGCCAAGACCAAAGAGCTCTCCAGGGATGTCAGGGACAAGATTGTAGACCTACACGAGGCTGGAATGGGCTACAAGACCATCGCCAAGCAGCTTGGTGAGAAGGTGACAATAGTTGGTGCGATTATTCGCAAATGGAAGAAACACAAAAGAACTGTCAATCTCCCTCGGCCTGGGGCTCCATGCAAGATCTCACCTCGTGGAGTTGCAATGATCATGAGAACGGTGAGGAATCAGCCCAGAACTACACGGGAGGATCTTGTCAATGATCTCAAGGCAGCTGGGACCATAGTCACCAAGAAAACAATTGGTAACACACTACGCCGTGAAGGACTGAAATCCTGCAGCGCCCGCAAGGTCCCCCTGCTCAAGAAAGCACATAAACATGGCCGTCTGAAGTTTGCCAATGAACATCTGAATGATTCAGAGGAGAACTGGGTGAAAATGTTGTGGTCAGATGAGACCAAAATGGAGCTCTTTGGCATCAACCAACTCGCCGTGTTTGGAGGAGGAGGAATGCTGCATATGACCCCAAGAACACCATCCCCACTGTCAAACATGGAGGTGGAAACATTATGCTTTGGGGGTGTTTTTCTGCTAAGGGGACAGGACAACTTCACTGCATCAAAGGGACGATGGACGGGGCCATATACCGTCAAATCTTGGGTGAGAACCTCCTTCCCTCAGCCAGAGCATTGAAAATGGGTCGTGGATGGGTATTCCAGCATGACAATGACCCAAAACACACAACCAAGACAACAAAGGAGTGGCTCAAGAAGAAGCACAATAAGGTCCTGGAGTGGCCTAGCCAGTCTCCAGACCTTAATCCCATAGAAAATCTGTGGAGGGAGCTGAAGGTTCGAGTTGCCAAACGTCAGCCTTCGAAACCTTAATGACTTGGAGAAGATCTGCAAAGAGGAGTGGGACAAAATCCCTCCTGAGATGTGTGCAAACCTGGTGGCCATCTACAAGAAACGTCCGACCTCTGTGATTGCCAACAAGGGTTTTGCCACCAAGTACTAAGTCATGTTTTGCAGAGGGGTCAAATACTTATTTCCCTCATTAAAATGCAAATCAATTTATAACATTTTTGACATGCATTTTTCTGGATTTTTTGTTGTTGTTATTCTGTCTCTCACTGTTCAAATAAACCTACCATTAAAATTATAGACTGATCATTTCTTTGTCAGTGGGCAAACGTACAAAATCAGCAGGGGATCAAAAACTTTTTTCCCTCACTGTAAATGCTGAAAGTAGTAGCTTAGTTATTCATGCAAAACAAAAATACTGAATTGCAGTTTGGCTTAGAATACCGTTTTCTGCTAAGGTGCAACATTTGGTAGGCTGATGGAAGGCTACTCGGAGTCAGTCTGCACTGCAGAGAAGCCTATTCAGACGTGCTCATCATGGTTCTGACAGGCAAAGTGAAATTATACAATGAATTTGCTCGCAGTGCACACAGCTCAAATGATATGTAACAACACCATTGGACCAAAACCATTGGACATGAAACAACGATAAAAAAAATTAACAACAGCACAACAAAATAGATAAACAATTGTATTTTGCAGCTGCCTTTTCATTTTAAAAGGTGCAACTAATGCTTTCTAGCTGCATTGAAAGCGACACTTTCCAGTGGTCAAAACCATTCATCTTGAGGCGACAGGGGAAGGGGGTGCAAAATGCAATATTTTGTTAATTATTATATCATATAAAATAGACATATCTATTTTAATACAGACTAGCTCAAATCATTACTAGTCATTGAAAATGACAAACTACCCAATGGATCATAATAATTTTCTGGTTTAAAAAAAAGTGGCTGTGCAAAAACAGACGTTTGCACCCCTATTTTGAAAGTGGGGTGCAGCTGCGCCGTTTGCTCCATTGCGCAGGCGCCTATAATTGTCAATACTTATTAATCAGAAAGTGTCTGTCCAAAGGTTTGTTAGTCATTCAATAAAAAGGTGAATGAGTGGACTATCAAAAATAGATATCCGTGTAAAGAAAAAGTAAATGCATACGTGTACATTTGACGATACTTAAAGGCGTCATCGACTTCTTCATGTATACTATAGCCACGTCATCGACAGAGAACAGTGGGGTTAACTATCTGCAACAGTGTAACAACAATGGAACAGCTGGTTTAAACCACATTGTTGGCTACAATGTTGCAAAACACATGAAATGGCAGCCGGGAATACCCAGCAACATGTCACAGTCACTCATTAAGTTTTTGGCTACAGTTACAGCATTAGAAATACGGACAAACCTGAAATGTACAGTGGGGAAAAAAAGTATTTAGTCAGCCACCAATTGTGCAAGTTCTCCCACTTAAAAAGATGAGAGAGGCCTGTAATTCATCATAGGTACACGTCAACTATGACAGACAAATTGAGATTTTTTTTCTCCAGAAAATCACATTGCATGATTTTTAATGAATTTATTTGCAAATTATGGTGGAAAATAAGTATTTGGTCACCTACAAACAAGCAAGATTTCTGGCTCTCACAGACCTGTAACTTCTTCTTTAAGAGGCTCCTCTGTCCTCCACTCGTTACCTGTATTAATGGCACCTGTTTGAACTTGTTATCAGTATAAAAGACACCTGTCCACAACCTCAAACAGTCACACTCCAAACTCCACTATGGCCAAGACCAAAGAGCTGTCAAAGGACACCAGAAAATTGTAGACCTGCACCAGGCTAGGAAGACTGAATCTGCAATAGGTAAGCAGCTTGGTTTGAAGAAATCAACTGTGGGAGCAATTATTAGGAAATGGAAGACATACAAGACCACTGATAATCTCCCTCGATCTGGGGCTCCACGCAAGATCTCACCCTGTGGGGTCAAAATGATCACAAGAACGGTGAGCAAAAATCACAGAACCACACGGGGGGACCTAGTGAATGACCTGCAGAGAGCTGGGACCAAAGTAACAAAGCCTACCATCAGTAACACACTACGCCGCCAGGGACTCAAATCCTGCAGTGCCAGACGTGTCCCCCTGCTTAAGCCAGTACATGTCCAGGCCCGTCTGAAGTTTGCTAGAGTGCATTTGGATGATCCAGAAGAGGATTGGGAGAATGTTATATGGTCAGATGAAACCAAAATAGAACTTTTTGGTAAAAACTCAACTCGTCGTGTTTGGAGGACAAAGAATGCTGAGTTGCATCCAAAGAACACCATACCTACTGTGAAGCATGGGGGTGGAAACATCATGCTTTGGGGCTGTTTTTCTGCAAAGGGACCAGGACGACTGATCCGTGTAAAGGAAAGAATGAATGGGGCCATGTATCGTGAGATTTTGAGTGAAAACCTCCTTCCATCAGCAAGGGCATTGAAGAGGAAACGTGGCTGGGTCTTTCAGCATGACAATGATCCCAAACACACCGTAAGAATCATTTCAAGGTCCTGGAGTGGCCTTGCCAGTCTCCAGATCTCAACCCCATAGAAAATCTTTGGAGGGAGTTGAAAGTCTGTGTTGCCCAGCGACAGCCCCAAAACATCACTGCTCTAGAGGAGATCTGCATGGAGGAATGGGCCAAAATACCAGCAACAGTGTGTGAAAACCTTGTGAAGATTTACAGAAAACGTTTGACCTGTGTCATTGCCAACAAAGGGTATATAACAAAGTATTGAGAAACTTTTGTTATTGACCAAATACTTATTTTCCACCATAATTTGCAAATAAATTCATTAAAAATCCTACAATGTGATTTTCTGGATTTTTTTTCTCATTTTGTCTGTCATAGTTGACGTGTACCTATGATGAAAATTACAGGCCTCTCTCATCTTTTAAAGTGGGAGAACTTGCACAATTGATGGCTGACTAAATACTTTTTTTCCCCCACTGTAGCTACTCGGGTTTATTGAAACGTCATCTTTCGTCAGAGTTTAATGTGTTTGATTTTTCTAGCTGTAGCATTTTTAGTATACAACTAAAACATATCAGATATACACACAATCAAATCGTAATCAAATGTAGTCATAGTTAAAGTTTTATACGAAAACGTACTTTTTTTTTCACTCTATGAAAAAGATGTGATTTGTAATCAGAGGCTGTTGGCGTGACGTTAGAGAATAGGATTGGAGGGCGGTGCTGGTATATAGCTGTGGTCCGGCCTACACTTCCACCTTCTCGCCAGTGGAGTTTCATCACAGCTTCTGCACCACCCAGGGCAGACGAGACCATAAACACAAGTAAGTAGCTAAGAAAATAGTTTCACAATGTAACGTGTACGGGCGCACATTAAAAGATGACTTGCTCGTCATACCGTAGACATCTAGCCAGCGATGGGGGGGGGCTGATCGTTGTCGAGGATGCTGTGAAATATTATCACTGTCAAAATGTGCTCTGGCCTGAGTCGACTCCATGTCATTCCTCCCCTTGTTCGGCTGCTTTATGCCTACGTGGACTTTGTGTAGATTATTGTGGAGCTACGTATTAAAATGGGAGAATGTGTAGCTATCATGTTTTGATCAAACACATGTGTAAAAAAATGTAAGCCCAAAACACCGTTCTCGATTTCATGTTTCATTACATTTTTTGTAGTGAAAGTTTCCGTAAGGAGTTTGAATTTAAACTGGTTGTTAGCCGCCAGAGCTAGCTAGCGCTAGCACTGCAGCTACGTGTCATTATCGCGCACGGTCAAAGTTTATACGAGTTTATTAGCTAGCTAGCAAGCTAACGCGTATACATAAAGTTTTCAATAGAACGGGGCGTTTACATTGTTTTCTTGGAATGCACGATTAATGTTTAATTTAAGATCCTTAGCAAGTGGTTAGCTATTTAGTGTTACCATCCATTTCAAGAATTCCTCGGACATTCTTGCATGTCGACGTAGCACTAGCGGAGAAACCAATGAATCTTGGCCAGCTAACGTTAGCTATCTAGTTAACGTTGTCTTGGTCAGGTAGCTAACGTACAGTAGTTAGCTAGCTACCTATATTCATCTGACGCGTGTCGTGGCCTTAGGATAGTCTGTCAATTTTCATGTCGCATCGTTTGTTGATATTAGCTAGCTAATTATATATATATTTTTTTTAAACGTCCGCTAGCTAGCTAACTATTCTGCTAGCTAGCTTGCAAATTAGGCAGAAGTAGGCCAGTGTTCTAGCTAACGTTAGCTAGCAATCTATTTTAGCTTTTTAGCTGCAACCTCACGTTAATCTAGGACAGTTGACTTAACTAGGGTGAAAGTTAAGTACATGCATGTTATATGAATAAGGCTAATTTAGCATCAGATTTAAATGCCAAATTAATAGAGTCTGTGTGGTCTCACTGGAAGAGGCATCAACGTACACCTCATTAGGCTATTTGACAAAGCTGGCCAAGCCTGTAGTAGTTAATACATCCCACTGGTCTAATGTCAAACAAGAATATGTTATTGGGTTTCTTAGCTTTTTCTAGGCTACCTTTACCTTCAAGCAAGTAGGCCCAGATTTGTATGCTAGCTACTTATGTGGGGGGGATCCGTCCAGCCATTTAATTAGATGTCAAAGCTTGGTTTGATCTTTTCACTCAAATCCTCACATTTGAATATAGCTCTTAATCTATTAATTGAATGTTTAGTGTTTTATCAACTGAATATCTGTTGTGAAACCAGTGTTTTATTTATTTATTGTGCTTTTCAGGCAAAAGCTGGCAGGCTGACACGAACAGGCAGCTCTACAGGACGGATTATCTGGTAACTGACCATTCAGCTGGTAAGAAGTGACTCTACTCTCTAAGCTCCTAATTATAGCCTAACCATGCTGCAGTCCCTCCTAACCTGCAGTTTTCCAAATGGAAGGCAGTGGAATGGATGGCCTGGTTGGCCACATCCACTGTCTCAATAATTGAAGATTACAGGCAGACATTTTTACTGGAAATACAAGATGGGGGGGTGGGGGGGGGGGGCTATATATTGTATATTATTGGGTCAATCATAAACCAGGTGCTTATCTGATTTATCTGTATTTCTTTTAAATACTTTGAATCAGTGTATATATAAAACGTTCTCAAAGAATGTTTCCAGATGAGGCTTGAAGCACTTCAGTAGTCTACTCTGTGAAACCTTTTCAACATTTACCATTTTGTGTGGAAGGCTGTTTTCTTGCTCCATGTTAAACCAATGAGATGGCAGTAGTATGGCTTTCTGTGTGTAGTGCCCTGTGCTAACTAACTCGCCACTGATTCAGCCTTAAAGAGGCCTAGCCGAGAAGGAAGAGGCCCCGTAAAGGGCGCTACTCTGGAAAGCATGTGAAAACAGCTCTACTAACGCCATGCTAATGATTCCAGGCACCACCTCCACTGACTGTGCTGTGTGCCAGTACAAAATAGAATTACTAGAGTGGACCTTCCCATTCAAGTGGATGTTCTGTGATTGGTAGGAAATGTGATATAATGGCGCCGGAGGGGATGGCGGCCATTTTACGGGCTCCTAAACAACTGTACTATTTTGTTTTTTTCCGCGTTGTGTGTAACTTATTTTGTATATAATGTTGCTGCTACTGTCTCTTATGACCGAAAAGAGCTTCGTACGTCAGAACAGTGATTACTCACCTTGAACTGGATGAAGATTTTTTTTCTTTAATGAGTGCGATTCGAAGGATGTACTGCTTCTCTGAGACCAGGCCCAAATCCCCGTCATTCGCGTGAAGAAAAGACGGAAATACAGGGGGCCAAGATTGGGGTGCCTTGTGAGAATTCGTTGGCGAGTGGGTAACCCGCATCTACCATCCGTTCTATTGGCCAACGTGCAATCACTGGAAAATAAACTGGATGATCTCCGCTCGAGACTATCCTACCAACGTACATTAAAAACGGTAAAATCTTATGTTTCACCGAGTCGTGGCTGAACGACGACATAGATAATATTTTTATTATTATATACAGTTGGCTGGGTTTTCCGTGCATCGGCAGGACAGAACAGCTATGTCCGGTAAGACAAGGGGCGGGGGTGGGAGTGTGTCTATTTGTCAATAACAGCTGGTGCGCGATGTCTAATATTAAAGAAGTCTCGAGGTATTGCTCGATTGAGGTAGAGTACCTCATGATAAGCTGTAGACCACACTATCTACCAAGAGTTTTCATCTATATTTTTCTTAACTGTATTTACCACCACAAACCGATGCTGACACTAAGACCACACTCAACGAGCTGTGTAAGGCCATAAGCAAACAAGAAAATGCTCATCCAGAAGCGGCGCTCCTAGTGGCCGGGGACTTTAATGCAGGCAAACTTAAATCCGTTTGACCTACTTTCTACCAGCATGCCACATGTGCAACCAGAGGGGAAAAAACTCAAGACCACCTTTACTCCACGCACAGAGACACATACAAAGCTCTCCCTCGCCCTCCATTTGGAAAATCTGACCATAATTCTATCCTCCTGCTTACAAGCAAAAACTAAAGCAGGAAGTACCAGTGACTCGCTCAATACGGAAGTGGTCAGATGACGCGGATGCTACGCTACAGGACTGGTTTGCTAGCACAGACTGGAATAGGTTCCGGGATTCATCCAATGGCATTGAGGAGTATAGCCCAAGAAAACGAAGGTAACCTGCCTAAATGACTACCACCCCGTAGCACTCACGTCAGTAGCCATGAAGTGCTTTGAAAGGCTGGTCATGGCTCACATCAACACCATCATCCCGGAAACCCTAGACCCACTCCAATTCGCATACCGCCCCAACAGATCCGCAGATGACGCAATCGCACTCCACACTGCCCTTTCCCACCTGGACAAAAGGACACCTATGTGAGAATGCTGTTCATTGACTACAGCTCAGCGTTCAACACCATAGTGCCCACAAAGCTCATCACTAAGCTAAGGACCCTGGGACTAAACACCTCCCTCTGCAACTAGATCCTGGACTTCCTGACGGGCCGCCCCCAGGTGGTAAGGGTTGGCAACAACGCATCTGACACGCTGATCCGCAACACTGGGGCCTCTCAGGGGTGCGTGCTTAGTCCCCTCCTGTACTCCCTGTTCACCCACAACTGCGTGGCCAAGCACAACTCCAACACCATCAAGTTTGCTGAGGACACAACAATGGTAGGCCTGATCACTGACAACGATGAGACAGCCTATAGGGAGGAGGTCAGAGACCTGGCAGTGTGGTGCCAGGACAACAACCTCTTCCTCAACGTGAGAAAGACAAAGGAGCTGATCGTGGACTACAGGAAAAGGAGGGCCGGAACGCCAAGACAGTCGTGAAGAGGTCGCGACAACACCTTATCCCCCTCAGGAGACTGAAAGATTTGTCATGGTTTCCCAGTTCCTCAAAAAATTATACAGCTGCGCCATCGAGAGCATCCTGACCTGTTGCATCACCGCCTGCTATTGCAACTGCTTGGCATCCGACTGTAAGGCGATACAGAGGGTAGTGTGTACAGCCCAATACATCACTGGGGCCAAGCTTCCTGCCATCCAGGACCTATATACTAGGCAGTGTCAGAGGAAGGCCCAACAAATGGTCAAAAACTCCTGTCACCCAAGTCCATAGACTGTTCTCTCAGCTACTCAAGCGGTACCGGAGCGCCAAGTCTAGGTCCAAATGGCTCTTTAACAGCTTCTACACCCAAGCCATAAGACTGCTGAACAATTAATCAAATGATTTGATTCTATTTCTATGGTATAATGTCCCATGAGCCCCGTCCTCCATCTTATGGCTAATGTGTTCACTGCTTCTCATTCGAAGCAAAACATTTTTGCACGGTTTGCGGAGGAATAGCCTAGTAAATGTTCTCCGGGGTCAACTTCTCATCCCCACAATCCTAACCTTTAACCATTAGTGGGAAAAGTACAAAAATGACCCAAGACCAGTGTCTAGAGACAACTTCACCTAGCGCACCAGCTCAGGGTCTAGTCTGATCTACCTGGTTAGGACTTCACCTAGCGCACCAGCTCAGGGTCTAGTCTGATCTACCTGGTTAGGACTTCACCTAGCGCACCAGCTCAGGGTCTAGTCTGATCTACCTGGTTAGGACTTCACCTAGCGCACCAGCTCAGGGTCTAGTCTGATCTACCTGGTTAGGACTTCACCTAGCGCACCAGCTCAGGGTCTAGTCTGATCTACCTGGTTAGGACTTCACCTAGCGCACCAGCTCAGGGTCTAGTCTGATCTACCTGGTTAGGACTTCACCTAGCGCACCAGCTCAGGGTCTAGTCTGATCTACCTGGTTAGGACTTCAGTAGGTGGATGAACTGAAAGGGGTCAGTGGGGAAATCCTCTTAACCTTGGAGAGCTCATTCACCCAGCTTAGAAAGGCCTAGCGCAACAACTCAAAACCTAGTTGTTGGGCACCGGGGTGAAGTTTCCCCCTAGGTACAGCTAGGATCAGCTTCACCTCCCCTCGCCCAAAGGCCGGCAGATGGCAATATTGAGTTTCCATCTTACCGTCCAAACGCATTGTATGCAGCCGGCAATACGCTCGTATCCCCCGTGGACAGGTTTATACATAAAACATTCTGCATTCAGGATGTAAAGGCATCAATTTCCTCTTTAACTGGACTTAAAGGCGGGGGGAGAAAAAAACAGGGAAAATATTCATACTTTCTTTACGAAACACAATTTTCCTAGGAATGCTAGTTCCGGATGTTGTGTATCGCATTCAGCCATTCAGGTTGCAGCAGTCTGTTTACCCCAGGAAGTAGCATTAGCCACTAGCGTGGTGGAAATTGTTTAATTAAAGTATGTATATGTAAAAAAATAAAAAAAAATACCCCTTTTCACCATTAAATCTAGTTAAGGAGGAAATCGAAGCCTTTTGTAGCCTTAAAGGGAAATGTTTTAGGTACAAACTGGTCCACAGGGGGATACGAGTGTATTGCCGGCTGCATACAATGCGTTTGGATGGTAAAATGAAACCATCCGTTCCAGATGAATATCGCCATTAGCAGGCCTTTGGGCTACCCCTACCCCAATCCTAACCTTAACCATTAGTGTGGAAAATGCAAAACTGATCCGAGATCAACGTCACATGTAGCCTACTGCAATGAAGCAGTTTGTCCCCTTGGTTATGCTTAATTTGCCCTAATCTGTGCACTAAGGCTATTTGTCAAACATTCACAGAAAGTGCTGACGTGTACATTGGAAATGGCTTGAACATAAATTATCCCTCCTGGAAAGGCATGGCTTCTTTTGATAATGGTAGATAAGACCATCTCAAAGTCCGTTCAAACTGATAAATGAGGTTTGTACTACTGTATTTAACCCTAAACTATAAAAGCGGTTGTTGTTTATTTGTTTTCATGGTTTGTTTTTCTAGCCATGAGATGACTCAAACGACAAGGCCTTATAAAGACAACAATGTCTTAGCTATGCAGGCTGTTTTGTTTATTTAACCCTGATAATTAAGTCCTCTGTTCCTTTACTAGTGGCACACTCGGACTCCGTGTAAACGTGGGATTTCGACCATGAGCTCAGTCGCTGTACTTACGCAGGAGAGCTTCAACGAGCACCGCTCTGGGCTCGTTGCAGAGAAGGCTGGCGGTGAGTGTCTATTCTGTCTCCTCCTCTGGGTAGATTAGTCTGGCTTTAAAATTAGCCGTCAGTCATACCCCCCCGTTATCAATGATTATCTCAATAAACATGCAAACTAAAACCTACGTAACAACAAGAACTGAGTTGTATGTATGTATGTATATATATATATATGGTGGCTTGTCTCTAATGGTTCAGCTACTGCCACACAGGGTCTAGTGCTGCTGGAGAGGAGGAGGCCCCAGCCTACAAGGATGCCTTCCCCCCACTGCCTGAGAAGGCTGCTTCACCTGAGGGCACCCAGGAACCAGCCAACGCCTGGACCTCCAAGATCCGGCCTCTCAAATCTTCTGTCATCACCCAGGTAGCTACAACAGCAGCAGCAGCGTTTACGCAATACTTACTTACTTTGTTGCGTTGGAGGAAGAAGAAACTGTTTTGTTGTAGCAAATTCTACCCATATTCCCTATATAGTGCACTACTTTTGACCAGAGCCCATAGAGCTGTGGTGAAAAGTAGTGCGCCACGTATTGCAATAGGGTGTCGTTTGGGGCACGTCCAACGTTTTTGTTATAGCTAAGAACTCCTCCTCCCTTTTTGTCAAACCTGGGCGTGTAGACCTAAAAGTCTGTTCAAACATGTGATGTTTGCTCTCCTTTAACTCATGACCCTGCTAGGTTTTCCACGTGCCTCTGGAAGAGCGCAAGTACAAGGACATCAACCAGTTCGGTGAAGGAGATCAGGCGAAGGTCTGTGTGGACATCATGCACAAGACTGGCGCCCACCTGGAACTCTCCATGGCTAAAGACCAGGGCCTGTCCATCATGGTGTCTGGGAAACTGGACGCTGTGATGAAGGCCCGCAAGGAGATTGTGTCCCGACTGCAGACTCAGGTCCGTGTAGAAAGATGGCTTCACGTTTAGCCCTTATGTGGCTTTAGTATCCATTATAACAATGTAGGTTACAGCGTATATATCAGAGCTACATTTGGACTCCTCCTTTGTGATTTTCCCAAATGTTGTACTATCAGGGCATTGTGTTTTAAGGACCCCACCTCAGGACTCCCTGAAAAACAGTGGCAATTCTTACTGAGTGGACTATATCATGGCTAAATAAATAAAACGAAATGAAAAGAGTATCATCCATTTCAATATGAACTCATGCACTCTTACTAAAGTTAATCAAAAGTGATTACTGCTTGATTATTTATTTACCTTTGTGGTAATATTAACTTCCATTGTAGGGGGCCAGTATGAAAAATGTATGCACTCACTAACTGTAAGTCGCTCTGGATAAGAGCGTCTGCTAAATGACTAAAAATGTGTTAAACTATTTTCCTCCATGTTGTTTTTTTTCACCAGGCTTCAGCAACTGTGGCCATCCCCAAAGAACACCATCGCTTTGTCATCGGCAAGAATGGGGAAAAACTGCAGGAGCTAGAGCTCAAGACTGCCACCAAGATCCAGATCCCCAGACCAGACGACCCCAGCAACCATATCAAGATCTCTGGCACCAAGGAGGGCCTGGAGAAGGCCAAGCACGAGATTCTGCTCATCTCTGCCGAGCAGGTAGCCATCCTGATGTCATATCGGTGACCTACCTACCGCTCTAATGACATCCACTATAACTACTCCACTCACTAAGTCAACTACCCCATAATAACCTCCTAACTCACTATTGAAACCTTTGCGGCAAATAACCTTTTCAACTTCAGTCATATCTGTTACCTTAATCTAAAAGTACCTTTTTTTACAAGTTAACTACCCCATAATAACAACCCCACTTAATAAAAATGCCCAATAACACTAACCTTACTGTTATCACACTACCATGAACACGGTGAGGAAGCTGAAGCAAGCTAGTTCAGTTTGTGAAATGTTTATATCATTCCCGAGTGTTGGACTGGACAACCTAACTGATGACTGTCTGTTCCCTCCCTCCCCCTGCAGGACAAGCGTGCTGTGGAGAGGGTGAACATCGACAAGGTGTTCCACCCCTTCATCACTGGCGCCTACAACAAGCTGGTGGCAGATATGATGCAGGAGACGGGAGCCCGCATCAACGTCCCCCCGCCCAGCGTCAACAAGACCGAGATCGTCATCACTGGGGAGAAAGAGCAGGTGGCCCTTGCTGTGGCTATGATTAAGAAGATCTATGAGGAGAAGGTATGTAGGGCTATGTTCTGTCATTTTTTTAAAAACAACATTTTAAGAGGTTCTTATGGTCGTTTTTTAAATATTAACTGTTATGGTCCTTTTTATAACCTGCTTTGTGTAAAATATTACTGTTTCTATGATCAAGATGATTGATTGAGGGGGAGGTATGTCCTGCTAGCTAAACTATGCTAAACAGGAATTATTGCATGTGCGTTATCATGGATGTAATGCTGTCATGAAGTATCAGGGTACCTTGGCGTGACTTCAGTTGTCTCAAGAAGCTACTGAGAGGGGTCTTTATGGAGGTTCATAGTGGCACGACCGCAGTCTTAGAATGTGTCTCGGTGTGTTTATTTTCAGTCGTAACGTTTATTCGAATTGGGACAAATACAATTATAACATTTTGAATACGGAACAGTCGGATGCACCAAAGTTACACTTGAGCTTACGGTAATGTCCAGTGCTCTTGTCTACCCCCTTCTCCTAGCAGAAAAATGCCACCACCATCGCGGTAGAGGTGAAGAAGTCTCAGCACAAGTACGTGATCGGCCCCAAGGGAAACACCCTGCAGGAGATCCTGGAGAAGACTGGCGTCTCGGTCGAGATCCCACCCCCCGACAGCAGCTCGGAGACCGTCATCCTGCGCGGGGAACCAGACCGTCTGGGTCAGGCTCTCACCGAAGTTTACGCTAAGGTAGATATACGTAACGTCTCCAACATAAACGCTACTACACAGTACGTACTATACATATTTCACTGAAGTTTACGCTAAGGTAGATATACGTAACGTCTCCAACATAAACGCTACTACACAGTACGTACTATACATATTTCACTGAAGTTTACGCTAAGGTAGATATACGTAACGTCTCCAACATAAACGCTACTACACAGTACGTACTATACATATTTCACCGAAGTTTACGCTAAGGTAGATATACGTAACGTCTCCAACATAAACGCTACTACACAGTACGTACTATACATATTTCACCGAAGTTTACGCTAAGGTAGATATACGTAACGTCTCCAACATAAACGCTACTACACAGTACGTACTATACATATTTCACCGAAGTTTACGCTAAGGTAGATATACGTAACGTCTCCAACATAAACGCTACTACACAGTACGTACTATACATATTTCACCGAAGTTTACGCTAAGGTAGATATACGTAACGTCTCCAACATAAACGCTACTACACAGTACGTACTATACATATTTCACCGAAGTTTACGCTAAGGTAGATATACGTAACGTCTCCAACATAAACGCTACTACACAGTACGTACTATACATATTTCACCGAAGTTTACGCTAAGGTAGATATACGTAACGTCTCCAACATAAACGCTACTACACAGTACGTACTATACATATTTCACTGAAGTTTACGCTAAGGTAGATATACGTAACGTCTCCAACATAAACGCTACTACACAGTACGTACTATACATATTTCACTGAAGTTTACGCTAAGGTAGACGCGTTATTTTGAAGGTTTTACTTGCAATGAATGTGGTATGTGGTTGTTTTACCTTCCTTAGTTGAATGTACTGATTTGTAAGTAGCTCTCTATAAGCTTGCCTGCTAAATGACCAACATGTAGCACTTTTCAGGGCCTCTGGGTCCAAGTGGACGTCTCATTTCTACGTCATTTAGCAGACGCTCTTATCCAGAGCGACTTACAAATCTCATGACCTCGGTGGGGTTTCCCAGTTTTCTAAAATGTGACCCTGTTTGTGTTTCCATGACCTCGGTGGGGGTTCCCAGTTTTCTAAATGTGACCCTGTTTGTGTTTCCATGACCTCGGTGGGGGTTCCCAGTTTTCTAAATGTGACCCTGTTTGTGTTTCCATGACCTCGGTGGGGATTCCCAGTTTTCTAAAATGTGACCCTGTTTGTGTTTCCCAGGCCAACAGCTATACTGTGTCCTCAGTCGACGCTCCCTCCTGGCTTCACCGTTTCATCATTGGCAAGAAGGGGCAGAACCTGGCCAAGATTACCCAGCAAATGCCCAAGGTGTGTGTGTGTGTGTGTGTGTGTGTGTGTGTGTGTGTTTGGTGTGTTCCAGTGGGGGGGGGGGAACCAGCTCGAGGCCTGACTTGGTGTTTCTCTGTGTGTTGCAGGTGCACATTGAGTTCACTGAGGGCGAGGATAAGATCACCCTGGAAGGCCCCACCAAAGACATGCAGATGGTGCAGAGTCAGATGGAAGCTATCGTCACTGACTTGGTAAAGCACTCATTCACCCCAAGCAGACGTCAGTTTACCAAACCCAGATTAAGCCTATTAGATTACTGGGCTAAAACGCATTCGACGGAGGTTCTCCCTTGAGCATGCTTTTTAGTTAAGATGTAGGCTTAATCTGAGTCTGGGCCAGTGTCTTTCATTGTCCCGAGGACAGACCGTAAACTAAACCAGTTTCCTTGGTTTTAGGACTCGGTAGTTAAACACGGCATCAAATGAATCATTTATTTCCTTTCCACTTCTAGGTGAGCCGCATGGATTATATGGAGATCAGTGTGGACCCCAGATTCCACAGGCACCTGATTGGGAAGGGTGGTGCCAACAGTAAGTCATATTATGTTTTTAAGCAAAGCGGCGGTTGGCTTGAGAAGTGGGGAGAGGTAAGATGTTTTGCATAAATACTAAGTTACACAAATGTATGAGATATTTAGCGTATTACTAAATGATGCTAAAACCTGTTTCTTCTCCGGCCCTGCTCAGTAAACCGCATCAAAGATCTGCACAAGGTGTCTGTGCGTATCCCCCCTGACAACGAGAAGAGCCACCTGATCCGCATCGAGGGGGATCCCCAGGGGGTTCAGGAAGCCAGTAAGGAGCTGCTTGAGCTAGCGTCACGCATGGTGAGGATTACAATACTGTGTCTCTCTCTGTGTCTGTCTCTGTCTGTCTCTGTCTGTCTCTGTCTGTCTCTGTCTGTCTCTGTCTGTCTCTGTCTCTCTGTGTGTCTCTGTCTCTCTGTGTGTCTCTGTCTCTCTGTGTGTCTCTGTCTCTCTGTGTGTCTCTGTCTCTCTGTGTGTCTCTGTCTCGTCTCTCTGTGTGTCTCTGTCTCTCTCTGTGTGTCTGTCTCTCTCTGTGTGTCTCTGTCTCTCTGTCTGTGTGTCTCTGTCTCTCTGTCTGTGTGTCTCTGTCTCTCTGTCTGTGTGTCTCTGTCTCTTGTCTGTGTTCTCTGTCTCCTGTGTGTCTCTGTCTCTCTGTCTGTGTGTCTCTGTCTCTCTGTCTGTGTGTCTCTGTCTCTCTGTCTGTGTGTCTCTGTCTCTCTGTCTGTGTGTCTCTGTCTCTCTGTGTGTCTCTGTCTCTCTGTCTGTGTGTCTCTGTGTGTCTCTGTCTCTCTGTCTGTGTGTCTCTGTCTCTCTGTGTCTCTCTGTCTGTGTGTCTCTGTCTCTCTGTTGTTCTCTGTCTGTCTGGTTGTCTCTCTTCTGTCTCTCTGTGTGCTCGTCTCTGTCTGTGTGTCTCTGTCTCTCTCTCTCTGTCTGTGTGTCTCTGTCTCTCTGTCTGTATGTCTCTGTCTCTCTCTCTGTGTGTCTCTGTCTCTCTGTCTGTCTGTCTCTGTCTCTCTGTCTGTCTGTCTCTCTGTCTGTGTGTCTCTCTGTCTGTGTGTCTCTGTCTCTCTGTCTGTGTGTCTGTCTCTCTCTCTGTGTGTCTCTGTCTCTCTGTCTGTCTGTGTGTCTCTCTCTCTCTCTCTCGTCCTTCAACCTCTCTCTCTCTCGTCCCTCAACTCTCTCACCTCCTCTCTCTCTCTCTCTCTCTCTCTCTCTCTCTCTCTCTTCTCTCTCTCTCTCTCTCTCTCTCTCTCCTCTCGCTCTCTCCCTCTCTCTCTCTCTCTCTCTCTCTCTCTCTCTCGTCCCTCAACCTGTCGTCTGTCTTACAGGAGAACGAGCGTACAAAGGATCTGCTCATAGAACAGCGTTTTCACAGAGCCATCATTGGCCAGAAAGGGGAGAAGATTAAGGACGTGCGTGACAAGTTCCCTGAGGTGAGTCACAAACCATGTTGCTGTGGGAACAAACCTGATGACGTCAGAGACCGTGGCTCAGTAAGACTTCAGTCAGTAAGGCTGTATTTACACAGGCAGCCCAATTCTGATCTTTTGCCCAATTATTAACAAAAGAGCTGATTTGATAGGTCAAAAGACCTATTGGTGGGGGGAAAAAAGCCCAGAATTGGGCTGCCTGTTTAAACGCAGCCTTAGAAACTATGGCGGGTGTAGGTGTGTGTGTGTGTGTGTGTGTGTGTGTGTGTGTGTGTATATAGCATATGTCAGAGCCATATATTTAGAGTCGATCTAGATGTATGGGCCTGGTAAATGCTATAAAATGCTTGTGTATACAGCTGTAACAGTAAACCTACTGTATGTTCATTTGGTTAGGATGGGCACAAAAAAAAAACTGTCGCGTGAGAAAAGGAAAATTATTTAACGCCGTACATTTTAAAGTAATAATGTTGTGTCGATTTGCAGGTCATAATCAACTTCCCAGACCCGGCAGCGAAGAGTGACGTCGTTCAGCTGCGTGGTCCAAGAAATGAGGTGGAAAAATGCTCCAAATTCATGGATAAGATGGTTGCTGACATGGTATGTAGATAATCAAGCCAGAACGTCTAAATGATTGTTCTTTCTGTGGCCACTAACTTTTACATTGCATGAAGTTAGTGTAAAAGGTGCTAAATACATTGGCTTTCAAGACGTTGTGCCTATAAAGCAGTTGATAACTGAGTTGGTATGATTGATAACTCCTTCCCTACGGGTATTGAACATCTAAAATCTTGCTTTGCTGATTTTTTAAATTTTTTCACTTTTTAGTGTTTTTATCTATGATTTTGTGTTTTTCAGGTGGAGAATGGTTTCTCTGTCTCAGTCCCCATCTTCAAACAATTCCACAAGAACATTATCGGGAAAGGTGGCGCCAACATCAAAAAGGTATATTCTCATTGATAGGATATGAATTGGGACACAGTTCTTTCACAATTCAGGCTTTTAAAATATGAAAAAGTGTAGTACCTGAGCATTTAAATAGTTAATTCCTTATTTTCCAGATTCGTGAGGAAACTAACACCAGGATTGACCTGCCTGCCGAGAACAGCAACTCTGAGATGATCATCATCACCGGCAAGAAGGAAAACTGTGAGGCCGCAAGAGTCCGTATCCTGGCTATCCAGAAAGAACTGGTAACTTGGTGGCTTTTCTCCGGGAGAGGACCCTCTAAGATGGCGTTTAGACTTCTATGTCAATGCAGAGAAGGATTTAATCTTATCTTTTCTCATTTGGCTCTCAATATGAAACCATGTCTCCATTCTGTGCCCAATGAACTACATCTACCACCATTGTGTCCATCCCCTCCAGGCCAACATTACGGAGATGGAGGTGTCCATTCCCTCCAAGCTGCACAACTCCCTGATCGGCTCCAAGGGCCGTTTCGTCCGCTCCATCATGGAGGAGTGTGGCGGCGTCCACATCCACTTCCCCACCGAGGGCTCCGGCGTCGACACGGTCACCATCAGGGGCCCCGCTGAGGAGGTGGAGAAAGCCAAGAAACAGCTGCTTTCTCTGGCCCAGGAGAAGGTTGGTTGTCCCGCTCTCAGTTGGCTTATTCGGGCTTGGGTTATCAGTAGGACCGGGTTGGTTTTTGCTTAGTTCATCGGCTATGGTTGTCATGAGGGTTGGGTTCAATTCCATTTCAATTCAGGAAGTAAACAGAAATTCCCATTTTCAATTTTCTTTCATTTATAAAGCAATTGAAATAGAACTAGGGTGACCGCATTTAAAATACCCAAATACGGGATGATTTTTGAAGCGCAAAATTTGCTGCACACAAAATGTGGTGATGCAGAAATGAGACCACGTGTTGTTTTTATGAAAATCTGTGAATATTTAGCCATGGTAACGATTCTGGTTAGTCTCAGGGAATGTAAAACGGTTAGGATGGGAGTCTTTTTAAAATGGGATTGAGTGAAGTAGCAGCAAGTATGTTGAATGAGCATGGAGAGCCTCACAAGTTTGACAATGACCTTATATCTTTGTCTAATAGGCTACAGCTATTTAGACGTTCTTTGTTAGAAGCACACGTTGTGTAAGTAGTTAGCTATCCTCTCCAAGTTTAGCTGGATTTTTAGCCCAAAAGGATTTCACAAATGTGATTTGGTTGACAATATGACATTGGCCTACGTGTAGAATATCAGATCTCGACAACGATTTGGAGAAGCGATGAACATCACCAGCACCACGTCCTTATGATGTATCTGGTCATAAGCACAACATGATAGCAAAAGAGACTGGTTGGAATGTCTGACTGAAATACGGGACAAATCGACTTTGTTAAAAACCCTCTCTCTGGGACACGGAGGCACAAACTTTAGAGAGAAACACTCCAGCCCAGCAGAGGCTACCATCCCCTGGTTTCACACCTCTGGCATTGCTAGGGGGGTTGCCAAGGGCCCTTCCAGAACACACTCCCCTGGCTAGGGTAATGTGACCTGGTCAGCCAATCACAGACTGTACCTTGTGGGGTCTCAAACCCCCAACAGTCTGTTCTTTAGTTGGACGCAGAGGTCCAGCGAGATAACCGGTCAGAAGAGCTCTGCAACAACTCAACACTGGACCCTTCCTGACCAACCTTCCACCCTGGACTTCCTAAATGTGTTAGTGGTTGGATTACCATAAACCACTATAAAGTTGTGGTGAAAAGTTTGGAGAATGACACAAATACTAATTTTCACAAAGTCTGCTGCCTCAGTTTTGATGATGGCAATTTGCATATATTCCAGAATGTCATGAGTGATCCTATGAATTGCAATTAATTGCAAAGTCCCTCTTTGCCGTCATATCAGTGATTCTCTCGTTAACACAGGTGAGAGTGTTGACGAGGACAAGGCTGGAGATCACTCTGTCATGCTGATTGAGTCAGAATAACAGACTGGAAGCTTTAAAAGGAGGGTGGTGCTTGAAATCATTGTTCTTCCTCTGTTAACCATGTTTACCTACGAGGAAACACGTGCCGTCATCATTGCTTTGCACAAAAAGGGCTTCATAGGCAAGAATATTGCTGCTAGTAAGATTGCACCTAAATCAACCATTTATCGGATCATCAAGAACTTCAAGGAGAGGGGGTCAATTGTTGTGAAGAAGTCAGGGCGCCCAAGAAAGTCCAGCAAGCGCCAGGACCGTCTCCTAAAGTTGATTCAGCTGCGGGATCAGGGCACCACCAGTGCAGAGCTTGCTCAGGAATGGCAGCAGGCAGGTGTGAGTGCATCTGCACGCACAGTGAGGCGAAGACTTTTGGAGGATGGCCTGGTGTCAAGAAGGGCAGCAAAGAAGCCACTTCTCTCCAGGAAAAACATCAGGGACAGACTGATATTCTGCAAAAGATACAGGGATTGGACTGCTGAGGACTGGGGTAAAGTCATTTTCTCTGAATCCCCTTTCCGATTGTTTGGGGCATCCGGAAAACACCTTGTCCGGAGAAGACAAGGTGAGCGCTACCATCAGTCCTGTGTCATGCCAACAGTAAAGCATCCTGAGACCATTCATGTGTGGGGTTACTTCTCAGCCAAGGGAGTGGGCTCACTCACAATTTTGCCTAAGAACACAGCCATGAATAAAGAATGGTACCAACACATCCTCCGAGAGGAACTTCTCCCAACCATCCAAGAACAGTTTGGTGACGAACAATGCCTTTTCCAGCATGATGGAGCACCTTGCCATAAGGCAAAAGTGATAACTAAGTTGCTCAGGGAACAAAACATCGAAATTTTGGGTCCATGGCCAGGAAACTCCCCAGACCTTAATCCCATTGAATTTGTGGTCGACGAGGCGGGTGGACAAATAAAAACCCACAAATTCCAAGCATTGATTATGCAATAATGGGCTGCTATCAGTCCGGATGTGGCCCAGAAGTTAATTGACAGCATGCCAGGGCGGTTTGCAGAGGTCTTGAAAAAGAAGGGTCAACACTGCAAATATTGACTCTTTGCATAAACTAAATGTAATTGTCAATAAAAGCCTTTGACACTTATGGAATGCTTGTAAATTATACTTCAGTATACCGTAGTAACATCTGACAAAAATATCTCATAACACTGAAGCAGCGAACTTTGTGAAGACCAATACTTGTGTCATTCTCTCAACTTTTGACCACGACTGTACACTAACATTACTTCATAGAAATATCCAGTCTATGGTCTCATCTAGTTAGTTATATCCAGTCTATGGTCTCCTCCAATTAAAATACTGTACACTACCTCACTTATCCTACTGCTAGTCTCCTCTTCCTGTGGGTGTGGTTATGGGCATTATCAGTCTTCTATAATTGTTATGTTGCAGCACATTCCATAAAAACATTCCAATCGTTCTAAAATATCTCATTTCCCCCCCCCCCCCCCCCTCGCTCTCTCGCTCTCTCGCTCTCCCTAGCAAACCAAGAGTCACACAGCTGAGCTGAAGGCCAAGCCAGAGTACCATAAGTTTCTGATCGGTAAGGGAGGCGGTAACATCCGTAAGGTACGTGACAGTACTGGAGCCAGGATCATCTTCCCTACAGCTGATGAGGAGGACCAGGAGCTGATCACCGTGGTGGGGACAGAGGAGGCTGTCCGAGAGGCCCAGAAGGAGCTGGAGGAACTCATCAAGAGCCTGGTAAGACCTTTTTTTTATCAAATACATTTAGTTGATTTGATTAGAAAAACAGGAGAAACCGAATCCAACACAAGATTCTCCTGACACATTGTTTTGTATTGATGTACGTACTTGTTGTTTTACAGCAGAATCGAACTCCTGTGTATTTTAGTCATTTTTAGAGTGTAAGGAAACTGTTGGCGTTTTGATTCTGATTGACTCCAACCTTTTTTAGATTATACCCTGTGTATTGTTTGAGACATTTTGAATATGAAACCCCCTTGCTTGCAGGATAACGTGGTGGAGGATGTGATGAATGTGGAGCCCAAGCACCACCGTTACTTTGTGGCGCGCCGCGGGCAGGTGCTGAGGGACATCGCTGAGGAGTACGGCGGTGTGATGGTGAGCTTCCCCAGGAGCGGCGCCAACAGCGACAAGGTCACTCTGAAGGGAGCCAAAGACTGTGTGGAGGCAGCCAAGAAACGCATGCTGGAGATCATCGAGGACCTGGTGAGTTCACTGGGCTTTAACTTATTTATGACCCATTTCCACCGGAGACTTACCCCGGTGTTTTACCAAAAAGGCTTTCGATTCCACTTCCAGCGTATTATTATTATTTTATTTATTTTAACCTTTATTTAACTTGGGAAGTCAGTTAATAACAAATTCTTATTTACAATGACGGCCAAACCCGGACGACGCTGGGCCAATTGTGCGCCGCCCTATGGGACTCCCAATCATGGCCGGATTGTGATACAGCCTGGAATCGAACCAGGGGGTCTGTAGTGACGCCTCAAGCACTGAGATGCAGTGCCTTAGACCGCTGCGCCACTCGGGAGCCCAAACTAGGCCATTGCCTCAATTGACCTGCTCTTACTTGGGGCCAAAGCCTGACCACTGGTACTTTTCAACTGGCATATCTACTGAACAAAAATATTAACGCAACAATGTCAAAGATTTTACTGAGTTACAGTTCATATAAGGAAATCAGTCAATTGAAATAAATAAATTAGGCACTAATCTATGGATTTCACATGACTCGGAATACAGATATGCATCTGTTGGTCACAGATACTGTACCTTTAAAAAAGAAAGTATGGGGCGTGGATCAGAAAACCAGTCAGTATCTGATGTGACCACCATTTGCCTCATGCAGCGCGACACATCTCCTTCACATAGAGTTGATCAGGTTGTTGATTGTGGCCTGTGGAACGTTGTCCCACTCCTCTTCAATGGCTGTGCGAAGTTGCTGGATGTCGGCGTGAACTGGAACACGCTGTCGAACACGTCGATCCAGAGCATCCCAAACATGCTCAATGGGTAACATGTCTGGTGAGTATGCAGGCCATGGAAGAACTGGGACATTTTCAGCTCCCAGGAATTGTGTACAGATCCTTGTGACATGGGGCCGTGCATTATCATGCTGAAACATGAGGTGATGGCGGTGGATGATTGGCACGACAATGGGCCTCAGGATCTCATCACGATATCTCTGTGCATTGTGTTCGTTGCTATTTATTGGCCCCAGCACAAGGTGCACCTGTGTAATGATCATGCTGTTTAATCAGCTTCTTGATATGCCACACCTGTCAGGTGGATGGTTTATCTTGGCAAAGGAGAAATGCTCACTAACAGGGATGTAAACAACTTTGTGCACAATTTGAGAGAAATACGCTTTTTGTGCGCATTGAACATTTCTGGGATCTTTTATTTCAGCTCATGAAACATGGGACCAACACTTTACATGTTGCGTTTTTTATATTTCTGTGTTCAGTGTATATAAAAATGGCTAACTGAACATGGGTTAACGCCTCACAAAGCAACTGTCTTGATGCAAAGGTTGTTAATTCTGTTCGCCACAGGTCTTTGGTGTCACTCCTGATAGAAACACAATCACAGTAGAGCTGACATTAACATAAAACACTGCTGACCCCCCGGGTGAGGGGTGAGCCTCGGGTGGGAGTGCCTCATACTGTTTATCTCCTGGGACATAAAGGCTGCAAGAATCTTCAGCCACTAGTCTCGTTTGCCCAGTCATAACTGTCGTGTCCCCTCTTCTTGACTCTGATTGGCTAGCGGTCCTCTCCTCTGTCTCCAGGACGCCCAGGTGACCATCGAGTGTGTGATCCCTCAGAGGTTCCACCGTTCTATCATGGGACCCAAAGGCTCCCGCATCCAGGCCATCACCAGGGACCACAACGTGCAGATCAAGTTCCCCGAGCGAGTGGACGGCCCGGGAAAAGGAGGTCCGGCGGGTAAAAGCCCCTTGGCGTTCTCAGGCAGTATTCACAAAGAGTCAGAGGAGTGCTGATCCAAGGATCAGTTCTGAGTAGTTTTAAAGATCGTAGTCGTGATCCTAGACCTTTACTCGCAATGACTGCGACGTGGTTGTTTTATCTACCTTAAGTTGAATGCACTGAGGTGTAAGTCGCTCTGGATAAGAGCGCCTGCTAAATTGACCTAAATGTAAATATCCTAGATCAGCACTCCTACTCTGAGACTTTGTCAATACGTGCCCGGGTTAAGAGATGTCTCTTGCTTCAAGGCTGCTCGAAGCAAGTCTTTTTCAGATTTCTGCTGTTTAAAATGCCTGGTTGTTTCATTCTCTCTAATCAACCTTTTTAAAAAATCTGTTCTTCCTCAGCTCCCCTGGCCGAGGCTGCAGTGCAGGAGAATGGAGAGGCTAACGGGGAGGTGCTCGTGGTCGAAGAGCCTACTACACCTGTGGATCCCGCTGTTCCCAAGAAGTGTGACGTCATCGTGCTTTCTGGCCGCAAGGAGAGATGTGAGGCTGCCGTGGAGGCGCTCCAGGTCAGCCCTCTTCTTGAACATTGAATTGAAATAATGACACTGTCTGTACTGTCAGTAAACTCTTTTACTGAGGGTATTCGTGACTCAAATATAGAGTAGTGTGTTTTCAACTCATGTTTCACCTGTCTTTTGTTCCTCAGGCTCTGGTCCCTGTCACCACTGAGGTGGAAGTGCCTTTCGAGCTTCACCGTTACATCATTGGGCAGAAGGGAAGTGGAATTCGGAAGATGATGGATGAATTCGAGGTTCGTAGAGGAGTTATTTTTTTCGGGGGGAATGGATCAGCTTAAAATTGCAGATAGAATGTATCTTCTATCAATGTAATTGTCTGCGTCACTTCCAATCCCCCATGTTTTTTTTATTTATATATATATATATATATATACTCCCCTCATTCAGGATACAGCATCTCCTCTGTCTGGAGGTTTTATCCAACATGGTAATGTTCTCTATCCATTGCCTCCACCTCCCAGGTTAATATTCAAGTGCCTGCTCCTGAGCTGCAGTCCGACATAATCTCCATTACTGGCCTGGCCAATCACCTGGACCGCGCTAAGGAGGGTCTCCTGGAGCGTGTTAAAGAGCTGACTGCTGAGCAGGAGGATCGGGTACGTGTTGCTCTCTACTGCTGCTTGTTCAGATCCCAGACCAACCAGTATTAAGTGTTGACGGCAGTCAATCACCAGCTACAGAGCCTGGTCCCAGATCTGTTTGTGCTGTCTTACCAACTCCTATGGTCATTACCTAGCCTGGTCCCAGATCTGTTTGTGCTGTCTTACCAACTCCTATGTTTGTTGTCATGCCATTTGGAATCCAACACAAACAGATCTGGGACCAGGCTAAGAGTGACATGGTTCTGACTGTGGATGTTGTACTTGTTGTTCTTTGCAGTCCCTCAGGAGCTTCAAGTTGACCATCACTGTGGACCCCAAGTATCACCCCAAGATCATTGGCCGTAAGGGAGCCATAATAACTAACATCCGCACGGAGCACGACGTCAACATCCAGTTCCCAGACAAGAATGATGACAACCAGGTACAGGGTTGCACCTTCTCTTGTCCTCCTATCCTCAAGCCCCTTGTCCTCTATCCTCAAGCCCCTGTCCTCTATCCTCAAGCCCCTTGTCCTCTATCCTCAAGCCCCTTGTCCTCTATCCTCAAGCCCCTTGTCCTCTATCCTCAAGCCCCTGTCCTCTATCCTCAAGCCCCTTGTGCTCTATCCTCAAGCCCCTTGTGCTCTATCCTCAAGCCCCTTGTGCTCTATCCTCAAGCCCCTTGTGCTCTATCCTCAAGCCCCTTGTGCTCTATCCTCAAGCCCTTGTGCTCTATCCTCAAGCCCCTTGTGCTCTATCCTCAAGCCCCTTGTCCTCTATCCTCAAGCCCCTTGTCCTCTATCCTCAAGCCCCTTGTCCTCTATCCTCAAGCCCCTTGTCCTCTCCTCAAGCCCCTTGTACTCTATCCTCAAGCCCCTTGTACTCTATCCTCAAGCCCCTTGGTCCTCTATCCTCAAGCCCCTTGTCCTCTATCCTCAAGCCCCTTGTCCTCCCTATCCTCAAGCCCCTTGTCCTCCTATCCTCAAGCCCCTTGTCCTCTACCCTCAAGCCCCTTGTCCTCTACCCTCAAGCCCTTGTCCTCTATCCTCAAGCCCCTTGTCCTCTATCCTCAAGCCCCTTGTCCTCTATCCTCAAGCCCCTTGTCCTCCTATCCTCAAGCCCCTTGTCCTCCTATCCTCAAGCCCCTTGGTCCTCCTATCCTCAAGCCCCTTGTCCTCCTATCCTCAAGCCCCTTGTCCTCCTATCCTCAAGCCCCTTGTCCTCCTATCCTCAAGCCCCTTGTCCTCCTATCCTCAAGCCCCTTGTCCTCCTATCCTCAAGCCCCTTGTGCTCTATCCTCAAGCCCCTTGTGCTCTATCCTCAAGCCCCTTGTGCTCTATCCTCAAGCCCCCTTGTCCTCTATCCTCAAGCCCCTTGTCCTCTATCCTCAAGCCCCTTGTCCTCTATCCTCAAGCCCCTTGTCCTCTATCCTCAAGCCCCTTGTCCTCTATCCTCAAGCCCCTTGTCCTCTATCCTCAAGCCCCTTGTCCTCTATCCTCAAGCCCCCTGTCCTCTATCCTCAAGCCCCCTGTCCTCTATCCTCAAGCCCCCTGTCCTCCTATCCTCAAGCCCCTTGTCCTCCTATCCTCAAGCCCCTTGTGCTCCTATCCTCAAGCCCCTTGTGCTCTATCCTCAAGCCCCTTGTGCTCTATCCTCAAGCCCCTTGTGCCTCTATCCTCAAGCCCCTTGTCCTCTATCCTCAAGCCCCTTGTCCTCTATCCTCAAGCCCCTTGTCCTCTATCCTCAAGCCCCCTTGTCCTCTATCCTCAAGCCCCCTGTCCTCTATCCTCAAGCCCCCCTGTCCTCTATCCTCAAGCCCCCTGTCCTCTATCCTCAAGCCCCCTGTCCTCTATCCTCAAGCCCCTTGTCCTCCTATCCTCAAGCCCCTTGTCCTCCTATCCTCAAGCCCCTTGTGCCTCCTATCCTCAAGCCCCTTGTGCTCTATCCTCAAGCCCCTTGTGCTCTATCCTCAAGCCCCTTGTGCTCTATCCTCAAGCCCCTTGTGCTCTATCCTCAAGCCCCTTGTCCTCTATCCTCAAGCCCCTTGTCCTCTATCCTCAAGCCCCTGTCCTCTATCCTCAAGCCCTTTGCAAAAAGGCATTGGAGAAGGTCAGAGGAGAGTGGCCTTGGATCTTCTCCAATGTGCCTGAGGGGGGTGAGGAGTTATGCAAGGAATTGAGGAAATGCTCATTTGAGAAGGCCTTAGACTTGATGTTTCCCTCATGTAAGGTATGTAGTCCTGACATACTTCCCCCCCCCCCCCCAGGACCAGATCACCATCACGGGGTATGAGCACAAGGCTACGGCTGCCAAGGACGCCATCCAGGCTATCGTGGACGAGCTGGAGGAGATGATCTCTGAGGATATCACCCTGGACGCCCGTGTCCACGCCCGTATCATCGGGGCCCGCGGCAAGGGCATCCGCAAGATCATGGACGAGTTCAAGGTGAGGGGGGGGGGTCGGGTGGGAGGACCTTTGTCAGTGGACACGTGGGGCCAGTTTCCCTGATACAGGAATTCCTGGACTTAGAAGCATGCACAACGGAAATTCTCCATTGAAATGGGTTTTTAGTCCAGGGCAAGCCTTGTCTGTGTCTCGGATAATGCATGTTAATGGTTGTGAGGACAAAACGAATCCTACAGGAGACTGGGTAGTCTTGCCTTGTCCCTCTGTATTCTGGGAAACCATTTGAATGTATTCCGTCTGCACATACATTTGCTGTTGATGGGTTTAGTGTTGATATATATAAATAATGCCCTCCAAGGCTTCTTCTTTTCAAATGGACAAAAGACAAGAATTTGTCCATTAAAAAAATATATATATTTATTTAATCCTCTTCGTTCCTGGAGGAACATAGGACCTCACTTTTAAATGGACAGATGACCTGTTCTAACACGACTGTGTGGAGCTTGGATATAACAGTTTATACCTGTTTAGGTGGATCTGAGATTCCCCCAGCCTGGAGCTGCCGATCCCAATCAGGTGTCTGTCACCGGACGTCCTGAGCTGGTGGATGAAGCCATCGACCACCTCCTCAACCTGGAAGAGGAATACGTAAGTACTCCTTTCAAAGCGGTGTAGGGTGAATTTGCCCCTAGATGCTGCACTTGGGTCAGTTTACCATTTTCCCCCACTAATGGGGTAAGGTTGGGATTGCGGGAGGGGAAACTTCACCCGGGGCTTTCAAAGCCATTTAGGCATCCTCTTGGCCCTTGGTGTCCACCATGGCTCTCCATATCCCCCATGATGCTTTGTAATTCATAGTTGTTGTTTTTTTCTGTGTCTGGTCAATGTTAAGTTTAGTCATTACTGATCAGTTTATTCATTGATCTGTGCTGTATCATTGATAAAGCATTTCCCTCATTGTTTTTTCACCCCCAGTAATCTTTGGCTCTTCATTTTACTGCTGTTATAGAACACACTATCTGATTGCCTTTAAATGAGGAGTATCGTAATGAGTACCTTAACAACTTTTCCCCCCGTTTTCATATGGCTTTTTAAAAATCTTAACTGGTTTCTGTTTCCTGTTTTTCAGATGGCTGATGTGATTGAGAATGAGTCTAAGATGACGTACATGAAACCCCTTGGTGACCGCGGTGCGTCCTCGATGGATGACGGAGGACGAGAGCGGGGCCCCTCCAAAGGCTTCGTGGTGAGGGAGGCTCCGTGGCAAACTGGCAGTGAGAAGGTGAGAGAGGTGACGGATATTTTATTTATTTTCCTCCTTTGACAAATCTGACCCAATACCTTTTTGTGCTAGCCTGGTCCCAGATCTGTTTGTACTGTCTTGCCAACTATACCCGTGGTCATTGTTGATCATAAGTTGTCTATTTAGCACAGATCTGGGACCACCAGGCTACTTTTGTGTGTGTTGTCCTTTTTTGGTAGTTTTGGAATGCAGTCATTTTGTAGTTCAATGATCACTCACATTTACTTGTTAATGGAAAGGAACTCCAGCACCTAGTTATCACTGACACTTGCTTGTTTTCCCCCCTCTCTCCAGGCCCCAGATATGAGCAGCTCTGAGGACTTCCCCAGCTTCGGTGCTCCTGTGGCGGCCGCCAACAAGGCCTCTCCCTGGGGACCCAAGCGCTTCTGAGCAGAGCTGTGCTGCTACAAAGGAGACGAGATGGCCCTCGCCTCCACCTGACGACACAATCTTCCCCTCATCACCTGCCCCGACCCTCTGGACCTGGACTGACCGCTGACACTGACCCCCCCAACAGAAGACGTCTCTGCAGTCCTGGAAATATTTCACGCTTCTCTCTTCTGTCTACATAACTTGGTTTGCCTTTGTAGATTTTACGGTGTAGTCTGAAATGCTTTCAACCAAACTGTATTTTGACCTGTAACTTAAGCTTTGTATCTTCTTCTATTCAGTAATACGTCTTTCTGCAACAAAAAATATAATACTTTATTATAAGAAACGTTGCCGGGTTGTTGGGTTATGTCTATTTTCAGGTAGAAGTTCAATGTTGTTCTCCGAGACTTGACATTTCATAATGATTTGAAATGTGTTACCAAAGCTGTTAAGGCAACCGAGCAAAGCTACGTAGGTTTCCTGAGCTGCCCCTTTTCTTAGTTGCCTTCGCAGGGTGTGTGTGTGTGTGGGAGGGGTTGACTTACCTCTGGTGACATGTTAGCTAACATGTCTGTCCATTTTCAGCTTTTGATTTGAAGTGAAGAAGCTTGACCACCACGGTGGCCCAGCTGTCTGTTTCAACTACTCTCCTCCACTACTCATGGGAACTGTGCACGTAATCTCATTCAGATCTCGGTCTTGTTGACGCATCTGAGTGGTTCTGTCCGCCGTCTTTCATTCTGTCCCCTTTTCTGCTTGTAACTGTGCTTGTGAGTATATGGGCAGGTAGTGGTGTGTTGTGTCATGCAGCCTTATTCATTTGTCAAACTTTGTTTTTGGAGGGGTGATTCACTACAGATACTATTTCACACACTCAAACTGCCAGATGCTTTTGGAGATCGTAATGGATCCTGTACCATGCTTCTACAACACTAGAGCTCCAAAGTTTCAATATCCCCACACACTAACTGTTAAAAGTATCATACTTGTTCCAAACTTTTAGTTATTTTTTTTGTTTGTTGAAAAAAATGACGTTTTAACTCTACTCATGTTTTTGGAAGCAAAAGAGCAGACCATTTTGTGCCAATGAACTGTCTTCTGTCTAGTGATGTGTTCCTCATCCTGCTACCAACCGGGTCAGTGTCCAGTCCCTTTTTGTCTTCCAGTTGCTATGCAGATTGTTCTGTAACCATAGCGATGGCCCTCTTCTAACAGCCTTATATCTAGGGTGACGTAAACCAGACCCAGAGTATGATGTCACAGTCCGAGGAGAGCAGGAGGCGTAACAGTAAAACGCTGTGTGGATAAATGTTCCATCGTCTCATTCGGTTCCAGTCAGTGGGGTGGTGTTTCATTTTTGCTCGCGGTGGTGCGGATACACTTCCTGAAAGATATGACATCACTGTCTAATCCTGGTCTATGTCATTCTAGCCTTATATGAAAGATTATGCAAAAAAAAAAAAAAACACACAAGAAATAGTGAAACAATTATGGATGACACTGGAAATGAAATTGTCCAAAAAGTCAATAAAAATTGAAAATGTTATTGTTTTTTTATTTGAGTTGAACATGTAGCTAGCTGCTTTCACTACAGAGTTGAGGCCGCATGAGAACCTGACCCCCAAGAACTCCTCAGAGGAGTCTTCCAGAGCGCATTCATAACAAGCACTAGGCTGCTGTAGTAGCAAGATGAGGACTGCTAAGGATAATTGCACACATTTTGAACTGCATTTAAAGTGGACCAGAGCAGGAGAACCACATGGAGACAGCACAGAGCAGGAGAACCACATGGAGATAGCACCAGAGCAGGAGAACCACATGGAGACAGCACAGAGCAGGAGAACCACATGGAGACAGCACAGAGCAGGAGAACCACATGGAGACGGCACCAGAGCAGGAGAACCACATGGAGACGGCACCAGAGCAGGAGAACCACATGGAGACAGCACAGAGCAGGAGAACCACATGGAGACAGCACAGAGCAGGAGAACCACATGGAGACAGCACAGAGCAGGAGAACCACATGGAGACAGCACAGAGCAGGAGAACCACATGGAGACGGCACCAGAGCAGGAGAACCACATGGAGACAGCACCAGAGCAGGAGAACCACATGGAGACAGCACCAGAGCAGGAGAACCACATGGAGACAGCACAGAGCAGGAGAACCACATGGAGACAGCACAGAGCAGGAGAACCACATGGAGACAGCACCGAGCAGGAGATGAAGGCAGAGGGTCTGACATGGCAACGCCTGGAGCAGAGATCACAAGCCCGAAAGGGATGGAGGTGCTTCATCGATGGCCTATGTTCTGGAAGGAATACAAAGGCCTAGCTAAGTAAGAGTAGGTTATGGGCTGGGTGTGAGGTAATTACGAGTACTGTACATTTACAATACATTTTAGTCATTTAGCAGACGCTCTTACCAGAGCGACTTGCATTCAACTTAAGATAGCTTGGTGGAACAACCACACACACTACATGGCCAAAAGTATGTGGATATCCCTTCAAATTAGTGGATTCAGCTATTTCAGCCATAAAATCGAGCACACAGCCATGCAGTCTCCATAGACAAACATTGGCAGTAGAATGGCCTTACTGAAGAGCTCAGTGACTTTCAACGTGGCACCGTCATAGGATGCCACCTTTCCAACAAGTCAGTTCATCAAGTATCTGTCCTGCTAGAGCTGCCCCGGTCAACTGTAAGTGCTGTTATTGTGAAGTGGAAACTTCTAGGTTCGGCTCAGCCGAGAATTGGTAGGCCACACAAGCTCACAGAACAGGATCGGCAAGTGCTGAAGCGTGTAGCTCCTCAGTTGCAACACTCCCTATCGAGTTCCAAACTGCCTCTGGAAGCAACGTCAGCACAAGAACTGTTAGTCGGGAGCTTCATGAAATGGGTTTCCATGACCGAGCAGCCGCACACAAGCCTAAGAAAAAAGGGCGGCAGGTAGCTTAGTGGTTAAGAGTGTAGTGCCAGTAACCGAAAGGTCGCTGGTTCTAATCCCCGAGCCGACTAGGAGAACAATCTGTCGATGTGCCCTTGAGCAAGGCACTTAACCCTAATTGCTCCTGTAAGTCACTCTGGATAAGAGCGTCTGCTAAATGACAAAAAAAGATATAAATAAATAAAAATAAGAACACCATGCGCAATGCCAAGCCTTGGCTGAAGTAGTGTAAAGCTCACCGCCATTGGACCATCTGGTAGTCCGACGGAATAATCTAGGTTTGGTGGATGCCAGGAGAACACTATCTGCTCCAATGCATAGTGCCAACTGTAAAGTTTGGTGGAGGAGGAATAATGGTCTGGGGCTGTTTTTCATGGTTCGGGCTAGGCCCCTTAGTTCCAGTGAAGGGAAATCTTAACGCTACAGCATACAATGACATTGTAGACGATTCTGTGCTTCTGTAACCGGTGTGAAATGGCTAGCTAGTTAGCGGTGCGCACTAGTAGTGTTTCAATCTGTGACGTCACTCGCTCTGAGACCTTGAAGTAGTTGTTTCCCCTTTGCTCTGCAAGGGCCACGGCTTTTGTGGAGCGATGGGTAACGGTGCTTCAAGGGTGACTGTTGTCGATGTGTGTAGAGGGTTCCTGGTTCAAGCCCAGGTAGGGGCGAGGAGAGGGACGGAAGCAACACTGTTACACTTCCAACTTTGTGGCAACAGTTTGGGGAAGGCCCTTTCCTGTTTCAGCATGACAATGCCCCTGTGCACAAAGCGAGGTCCATACAGAAATGTTTTGTCGAGATCGGTGTGGAAGAACTTAACTGGCCTGCACAGAGCCCTTACCTCAACCCCACCGAACACCTTTGGGATGAATTGGAACGCTGACTGCAAGCCAGGCCTAATCACCCAACATCAGTGCCCGACCTCACTAATGCTCCTGTTGTTGAATGGAAGCAAGTCCCCGCAGCAATGTTCCAACATCTAGTGGAAAGCCTTCCCAGAAGAGTGGAGGCTGTTATAGCAGCAAAGGGGGGGACCAACTCCATATTAATGCCCATGATTTTGGAATGAGATGTTTGACGAACAGGTGTTCACATAAATTTGGCCATGTAGTGTACCTCAGTCATAGTAAGTATATTTTTCTTCAAGGTAACTATCAGCAAAGTTAGTACTAGTAAGGAGAAAAAAAGTGATGGACGATCGTTAGTTTATGAAAGGCCTGTGGGATTATTTAAAATACTCTGAAGAGGTAATGTTAGGGTTTCAGACGTTTTCGGAAGATACACACTGTAGCCAATGAGAAACACCGAGAGAGTTTAGTTAGACACTAAGGGCTGTGCTACTCACAGAACTAGAATGAGATTCTGTTTATGTGATGCTACTACTAGGTAGTTGTCATTTGATGACCTTTGACCTCTCACCAACCATCTTTTTTTTTTTCATCATCAATGACCTTGGCTTTGTAGCTACTGTGACAGTGGACACTGGATAACCATTGTATGGTGACTAGACATATGTGTTATCTGTCAATCAAGCCCCCATTCACATCGACGGGGATGTAGTGGAGCGGGTCGAGAGCTTCAAGTTCCTCGGTGTCCACATCACTAAGGACCTATCATGGTCCAAACACACCAACTCAGTCGTGAAGAGGGCACGACAACACCTCTTCCTCCTCAAGAGGCTGAAAAGATTTGGCATGGGTCCTCAGATCCTCAAAAACGTATACAGCTGCACCATTGAGAGCATCTTGACTGACTGCATCACCGCTTGGGAGGGTAGTGCATACGGCCCAGTACATCTCCCTGCCATCCAGGACCTCTATACCAGGCGGTGTCAAAATAGGACCTAAAAATTGTCAAAGACGCCAGCTACCCAAGTCATAGACTGTTCTCTCTGCTACCGCACGGCAAGTGGTATATTAATAAAAGTCACCTTGTCCTAGAGAGATTTACACAGTTATCAAAACGCCACGCCAGAGTAAGCCTACATGAAACATAGCCCTTATTTTAAGTGTTTCTAAAATCCCGTATGGGAAAAATGAATGGTGGAAAAACAATTGGAACCATTTCCTTGTTTTGACTGCTAGGTTTTATGGGTATTATGACTCATACTGTGGTACTCTATTCACACTCTAGATTCTACCCACACATACTACGCATAATACGTGGTCCTCTGTAGCTCAGCTAGTAGAGCACGGCGCTTGTAACGCCAAGGTAGTGGGTTTGATCCCCGGGACCACCCATACACAAAAAAAAAAATTATGCACGCATGACTGTAAGTCGCTTTGGATAAAAGCGTCTGCTAAATGGCTTATTATATTATATTATTATTATTATACTACACTGACACTTCAACACACACTCACATATAGACACACTCCTCACATATCCTGATTGCCTAGTCACTTTTACCCCTACCTACCTACATGTACATACTGTATTACTTCAATTACCTTGTACCCCTGCACATTGACTCAGTACTGGTAGTCATTTACATTTACATTTTTAGTCATTTAGCAGACGCTCTTATCCAGAGTGACTTACAGTTAGTGCATACATTATTTTTATTTTTTTTCATACCCCCCGTGGGATGTCCTTGTATATAGCCTCATTATTGTAATTGTGTTACTATTTCCTTTTTTATTTAGCAAATATTTGTCTTACTTTTTACACCTGTTGCATTCGCCTCATGTGACCAATACAATTTGATTTGAGGTGAATGTCCAGCGAATTTATACCACCTGCAGTGGAAGCTGACAGAAGTTTACAAGAAGCAAAACTGTCTGCCTGGAGTCATAGACGATGTGAAATGGTAGGCGAATTAGTAACACATGGTAGATCATCATAATAATGTTATATTCATTGTAGTGCAACCCCCCCAAGTGAATACTTCAGAAGACCCCCCTTCTGATAACCAGGTGGCGAATCGCATCTCTGCATGTCTGGCAGACATATCAGTATGGATGACGGATCACCACCTCAAGCTGAACCTTGGCAAGACGGAGCTGCTCTTCCTCCCGGGGAAGGACTGCCTGTTCCATGATCTCGCCATCACGGTTGACAACTCCGTTGTGTCGTCCTCCCAGAGTGCGAAGAGCCTTGGCGTGACCCTGGACAACACCCTGTCGTTCTCCGCTAACATCAAGGCGGTAACCCGATCCTGTAGGTTCATGCTCTACAACATTCGGAGAGTACGACCCTGCCTTACACAGGAAGCGGCACAGGTTCTAATCCAGGCAGTTGTCATCTCCCGTCTGGATTACTGCAAATCGCTGTTGGCTGGGCTCCCTGCCTGTGCCATTAAACCCCTACAACTCATCCAGAATGCCGCAGCCCGTCTGGTGTTCAACCTTCCCAAGTTCTCTCACGTCACCCCCCTCCTCCGCACACTCCACTGGCTTCCAGTTGACGCTCGCATCTGTTACAAGACCATGGTGCTTGCCTATGGAGCTGTGAGGGGAACGGCACCTCCGTACCTTCAGGCTCTGATCAGTCCCTACACCCAAACGAGGGCATTGCGTTCA